TCTCCAGAGGTCCCTTCCAACCTTAACAATTCTGTGATATACCATTAACCACTAGCTATCCAAATGATGCAGGAAAGCTAATAAATAGGGATGAAACAAGGACTAAAGTAAAAATAAGGATTTCAAAAGAGCTATGTTGTAGGTCAGGACATGATCCAGACTTTTACAAGTGATGGAAACCAGGAACATTTAGAAGCAATGTTAAAGAGTTTAAGAGGCTGTGGTATTTCTTCCTTAGGGAGGAAAGTAAAAAAGAATAAAAATGAAGTAAAAAAGGCCATTTGTTTTAATCTTTAAAGCACTCAAAGAAGAAAAAAAAAAATCAAGAAAGCCTCTCATTCTAATTCCATTAGCTGTTTAAAAACCCTCCAACAAGACACAAAAATACACAGGTAGAGTCTTATTTAATCAACAACCAACTTGTGTACACAAGCATGTCATAAATTTGAAACTAAAAATGCACTCGTCAGTCATCTCAGCAGACAGTAGTAGTGACAGACAACGTGCAGATTTAAGCATTGACTCTCCTCCACAAAGGCTACTGGAAACTTGGTCTTCTGTGGCCTCTACTGAGGTTGGACATACTTACTTGACCAAGAGGAAACCACGCTGGCATGGCAGTGTAAGCAAGTTTTCATTCTGCCTGTACCTCTCTGGCCCAATAGTACTCAAGCAAAAGTAGGATTTCAAGTACTCACAGGCTTTGCTGAAACACAGCTCTAATAGACAACTTTACATGCTGATCTGTTAAGCCAGTGCCTTTTTTATGTTTTGTTGGGGTTTTTTTTCCACAAGACTGGTAAGTAAGTGAACGATAATATAGTGACAGCGATAAAATCACAACCTAAAGCCTCAATATTCAGCTTCACAGATCACATCCCTAAACAGTAACATTTTTTGAGACACTAGATTAAGCAGTCTCTGGATGAAAAACAAAGATAAAATAACCAATGAACATTTCAAATTATTTGCTTATTATATTCAGGTTGAATACTGTACAAGTTGACATTTGTTCTCTTTGAAGAGAAAATCTATTGCACTATAGGACCAAGTTCAGAAAAATATCCTACCACAATATCTGTGTGAAAGCATTTGGACTTCAGGTTTTCTGGGTCCCAATGTGTAAGGAAAAACTTTTAACACAGCACCATGAGCTGCTGTATAAATTGTACCACAGGCCTATAGGTTCTCTACTAATATTTTACAATTGGCAGCTCGAGAAAAATAACTGTGATGATGGATAGCCATAATAAAACAGAGAGAGAGATTCATTTACCATTAGCAAACAAGAAACCCTAGTCTTAACATCGCATTTCAGCTTTTATCCTTGGCTCCAGTTTCAACAACTTTTCCCTTCAAGGGAAGGAAATTATATGAACAGAACACAAAAACCACACGACTCTGATGAAGTAATTAATTAATAAAACTTCTCTACTTGGGATTTTCTTCCCTTCCTTTTTTTGTTCTAGAGCTTGGATTTAAGGGAAAAAAAAAAAGATAAGAAAAAAGATAAATCTGAATGCTTAATGTCTATATATATATAATTTTATTTTTATTTTTTTTTAAAAAGCAAGCATTAAGACTCAAAAATCAGTCAATTATTCCCACAGTGGAACAAGCCACAGTACTAACAAACAGCAGCGGAACAAAGGAGAAAGGATAGCAGAAAAAGTAAAGTACTCACTCTGACACATCAGAAAACTACAGTCAGTGTGTAGAAAAATAGACCCATGTAAGGTGGGCAGCCTACGACGTGTACTGAGAAAGGGCAGCTACAGAAGGAGCCAAAGCAGAATCTATCACAAGAGAATACAAAATACCAGGGAAAGGAGAACACACTCTTAAATCCTGTCCAGTGACAGGATTTAAAGGATTATCTTCAACATCTACAATTGACAAGTCTTGGAGATGGCTGGAAAAAGCTGAAGGAGGCCTTTTTTTTTCTGTCTTCTTGTTATTAAACAAACACACACATCCATAGGATACAGTTGTGCTTTCCTCTTTAGCCTTCATTCCCATATGTGTGATGGTTAGAAGAGTCAGGATATAGCTACTGGTGTACATTATTGGATTGTTCATCCAGATTTAGCAATTATCAAAATGTGAATTAAAACGAATTACTAAATAACACCTTCTTACCACTACTGTACCTACGCAGTGGGAAGAGCAGAGGTAAAGTGTTTCTTTTAGAATTTTTTTAAAGTGCAAGCCATTCCTCTGTCTTCTAATAAGTTTGTCTGTTTGTTTGTTAGTGAAGCACTGTGGCCTGCCCTGTATGAGCAGGGGAATGCCAAGTTTCCAAACCTTAGTTCACTGCTTAAGCTAGCTGCCAAGGGGCCCAGCCCTTTCAAAACAGTGGAGATTCTAAGGACCTACATACACCGTTAATTCATCTGTGGAGCTTTACAAGTGAAATAAAAATCTATATGGTCCTTTGGTCTTCAGTGTTCTTAGTCTTCAACAGCAGAGATCTTCAGGCTGGCAACTGTGGATTTGGGCATCTGGGTTCTATAAAAATCCCCTTAAGTAGTAACTTTCTCTTCTAGGTCTGAAACTGCTAGGTTCAGCCCTCAAAGTCAGTAAGGAAACGCCCATGACAGGCATGTTTCACATTAGCTCTTTAAAATCAGGATATTGAGGAATAGCTGAAAAAAATAGTATTCAGACACAGACATCTCCTTTATTCAGGTATTATGACCCTTTAAGAAGTTATTAACTTACACAGGAACAACCGCTGCACTACAATACTTAGAACTGACAGTGTCAAAACAAGCAAAAGTCAAGTTTAGAGTTTGTGAAAATAATCTTAACATAAATTGCTGTGATTTCAATTTTTAAGTATTTCATTTTATGCAGAAGCAACCTCAAGTATTCCTATCCCAAAGACTCTTTTTTTCTGTGAGGAAAAAAAAAAAAAAACAACAAAACAACAAACAACAAGACAAACAAAACTCCAACTTACTATTCACTAAGTGGAAATACAAACATCAATTTTCACAAGTTTAAAGCACCTACACGTTGTAACCTCAGTAAGTATCATTTTGAGAAATTACTTCTTTGCTCCAGATGCCAGAAGTATGACGGCATATCATCTTCACTGATTTCACTGAAATACATTTTAGGATTTTTGCCACAGAGTTTGGCACAGGTATAAATAGGCTGATTTAACCTTAGCAGGAACATGTTAACATATACACAAAGCCATCATTCCAGCTTTAGTGACATGGAGAACCCCCCAAAAGTGCTGAAGTAGTTACACGCAAATTTTGTTCTTCAATCTAATCATTACCAGTTTTGTCCAAACAATCCATCTATGGCAGTATTGAAAATTATTATTTACTTCTACATTTAGTGATCAGTCTCAAACGATTTCTGCACAGTCTTAAGTCCAAACTATTTTCTCTGTCATAATTGAAAGCCAGAAAAAATATATTTATGTGACATGTACTTAACACTGAAGAGGCTGGCAGAAATGCCAGTGAAATTTCAAAAAAGCAGCTTTAAGACAGCATATGATTCAAGACAACACTCTCATTGCAATATGTATTTTACTTCTCTGAACATCCTTTTTTAATACTTATTTTTACAACTGTTGTGTCATACAGAATACATTAAAGCAAACTTTCAGAAAAAAAAAAAGTACAAGCATGTGTGTGGCTGATATATATATATATGCTAGTTGCATGAAAACTCACAGACCTGGGCACGGATGACACCTCTGAGCTGGTATCCACAAGTAACTTCACTTGTATGGATTATTCCATTCCATTTAACCCTGACATAATGGTTTATAAACTGGTATTTTATACATGGACAACAGCTTATATATTTTTCCTCAAAATCTGGACCTATTTTGTTATAGATAAATGAACATTTCAGAAATTTATAAGGAAACCTTCTATTCCATTCCCATCTGTCCTTTCCAGCCTGCTTCAAAAATACCAAACTATTCATAAACACAAAAGGAAGACTAGTTAAACCAAATTAAAGAAGATCTGATTATACAAACAAACAGATTTTGGTATGTGCTTGAGTGCAAAAAAATCTTGTACATCTACTTAGAAATTATGTAAATCAAACACAGTAAATGGCTTGCTTAAAGTGCTCTACAGCTAAGACTTAATAGACCAAGTTTATCTCTAAATTAATAGCCCCCAAATCCCCACAGGCTTACAATGCTAACACTAACAACCTCATGGACCAAGGTGCTAGTAGGCACTGTTATACTCTATTAACTTATTAAATATTAAGAGTCAGACTCCGATCTCACAGTTTATGCAAATTTACACTGATGTAACTGAGAGCAGAATCCATCTCCTGGTGTATACCATCCTCAAATGACACAAAGGAGTCGCAAAAACAGGAGCTTCCTCTTGTATAAATATGTCATAAATAAGTACAGATACAAATATTCACTACAACAGCAGCTTAATGGGCTAATATTTCAGCTCTTGCTTCTAGAACACTTTGCTAAAAACACATCTTAAGTGAGCAGAGTGAATCTTAACAGTGCTGCATTAGCTACTTGTGATGCTACACACCCCAGAAACAATTTATGCACATTTTGAAGCCTTTACTAGATCTTTAGTAGTGAAAGTAGGTAGAAATTTTTGATGCAAAAAAGAATAAATAAATAAAAATTATTAACTATCCGATGTTTGGTACAAATGCTTCATATTATTCTTATACATTTGCTTAGAAAAATACACTAAATATTTCTACTTCATTGGCTAAAAATAAGGACCAGATAGATTATGTATATCCTTGCATTTTTAAAGAAGGTAAATGTCAATTACCATCAAGCTGCCAGAGTAGACCCATTAGTGCCTGTTCCCAGAGCCCTTACACAGGCAAAAAAGCCAGCGGAGAGCTCACCACAGCTCCTGGTGGATGACCTGGTACAAATGACCAAGAGGCCCATGGCACAAAAGTTGCACTTTCTCCAAAAGAAAAATGAAACTCTTTTGCTGAAGTTTATAACCTGCAGGTTTACTAATGTATCAGTCAGACTTTCACACTTTTTAAAAAGAGCTACATTTACAAATGTGGATGCTTATCTGTTAAGCCACCATTTGTTCCAAAAAATGCACACTCAACCTGTGAAATATTAGGAAAATACTCTTGCAAATAAACTATATAAAGATAAAATACACTTCAAAGATAGTTTTTATGTTATTCTATAAAGTGCAGAGAAATCCTTCTAAAAAGGGAAATGACTACTTCCTATAACAACAGGATAATTACAGCAGCTTTTGCATAGCATTATTTATCGAAAATTGAGTACTTTCAGTTTCTTCAGGAAGAAAAGGTTGAAAAAGTCTCTTCCAGCTCAGATCTTTCCTTTGATACTGATCTATTTTCTTCAGGAATGGTTGATGATACCAAATCTCCATTAACAGCACTTCTAGAACAGTGAGCAGATCCTAAGAAAATATCAGTAAGTATTTAATTTTCAACCTCAAAACAACTCCATTGATTATTCTACTTGCTAATTATTTCCTAAATATAAGCAATGAGAAGCATAATTACTCTGGACTTTTCCTAAAAGATTTCAATCAATATCATGCCCAAGGATGATGGTTATGAAGAATGTACAGCTAGTATAAATCAAGTAGTAGTTTATTTTTTTATGTACACAATGATTTTTACATTATGAAGGACAATAATCTGTGAGGTGCAGACATATTTTGTATGAGGAACACATGATTTTATTTATTTTTTCTTAAGAACTGATGCATCAATAAGCATTTAATTAAAATATTTTCTAGCATTAAAATTAAATGGATGACTTACTGCAAGTTGGGTATTGCTAGGCTATTGACAGGAAAGAGAAAGAACCAAGATAACTGGAAGGTAGGAGAGGGAACTTCTAACAAAAGAAAAGAAAAAAGAGAGGAAAGGAGAGGATAAGGAGGGAGAGGAGAGGAAAGAAAAAACAAAACAAACAACAGAGAAACTGAGCTAGAAACTAGAGCTACAACCAAAAAAGCCTGGTGTAAGCAGAAACATACAAGTCAGACTCTTCTCAGCAGTCCTGAAAAGTGTCAGACAGGGTAACTGACACCAGAAGCTCGAGATGGTATCAATAAAACCCTTGCAGGAAGTTAGAATGATGTGCACCTACATTAGCACTGAGGCAAGAATAGGATCTAAACTAAGTTTTATTAGATTGGGATACATGTTGACATACTCTATGCTGGTGGCAGAGGTGAAAGAGGTGGCCACCCTGCATCATGCAAGGATCAGAGAACCAAGGAAATGGTGTGGAAGTGCAAATAACTTGCTTCATGATAGAATGTAAAACATTAGTACCTCTTTGTGCTCAGATGGGATTTCAGCAGTGCACAGGCCTCAGGCTTTTTCAATCCGAGTGAGGCACTAGTCACTCTGAAGGAAGCAAGACTAAACTAGAACTAGTCAAAAAGAACTAGTCAAGTTACAGTCTCCCTGAGAGGGGTTAGGATGGAGTCAAAATGACAGTAAGATTCAAAAGGAAAGAACACAGAACTGCCTACTAACTCAATAGGCCTATCTAATCAGAATGGAATAATACTCTGACAACAGCATTTCTTAATTTTGGGGGTTGATTTTAGTTATTATTGGCTAGGCTGCACTATTTCAGAATAGTGCCATTCTCAACAAAAGGCAAGCAGCCACTGAAACGAGCCATCTTTCTGCAATGCACTGGGTGGAAATTACCCCATCACTCACAGGGGTCACAGAAAGGATTTGTTTTGTGACAAGCAGGTGGCAAACAAGAGTATTCCACACCACTTACGACATCATTCGTCTAAGACTCTATTACAAACATCCCTTTTCTGGTTATGTGTCTATTTTATCTTGTCAGTAGTCCCACTGATTTAAATGCAACTACTCCAGCTTTAAGATCCTTTTCAATATGAATGAAAGCCAGAAGTCAGTCTCATAATAAACTACAGAAGTACTCTGATTTATAATACAGGAATCCTACAACAAAATCTTTGCAAAAATCAGTAGACTTTTTCCTCATGCTGGTATTGGCTGTAAACAGTGTACGCTTTTACACTGCTGTAAACAGTGTAATAAACTGTACAGAATGGGACAAAAGAAAACCACTCGTCTTACAAACTTACTCTGAGAATCTTCAAAGGGAGTATCACTGTAAGATTCTGTATCCGAGTATGTTCTTCTGCGCTGCTGTGAAAATCGGTGAACAGATGAAGCTGGTTCTTTTACAGAGAGATTATTCCTACAAAATAAGTGAGATCTATCAGTCAGCAAAATCTGTATCAACCCCCACAAACTTAATATACTTTAAATTAAAAATAACTTTGGTGCTTATATTAAACCATTAGCATCAATGTTTTTCACTATACTAAACTAACAATGGCAGAGTCAACAGAACATTCTTTAGTTTCACAATTATAAAGTCTCAAAATGGAAATAAGAAAGTAATATATTCTTTGCATGCAAATAACTCAAGAATCTGAAATACTCATCCAAAAAGAATGTTAGCATTCAAGCTCTATGTCTCATTTAATGGACTTGTCAGAATAAGTCATTTGCATAAAGTTTATATCATGAAGAAATTTTTATAGTCTATTAGAGACAGCAGCTGCATTATTTGCCACTAACACCAATAAACTACACACTTAGTTTTCAAAATTAGATCAATTTATGTGCTGTTTAAAATTTTTTTCCCCAAGCAAACTATTCTTCTCACATTTTGATTTTAATGCTAGCAGGTTCAGCAATATTTTTTTGAGATAGAAGAAAAAAGCTTAATGAAATAGAAAATTACCTTTCTGAATAGCAAGGACCAGGGTGGCTAATGGAACGCTTCATCTGGGAGGGGGGGAAATCCAAACAACAAACCACACCAAAAAATGTCACAAGCATATAAGAATATATGCATACCTACATTAATTTTTACTTTATTTACAGTCTCTACAAAGAGAGAAGAAATCTTTTTATTATTATTATTAAAAGCAACCATTCTTAGTTAAAAAGCTGATTTAACTTTATGAAAACAGACAGATTGCCACCAATAATTACTGTTTTAAAGCATTCACACAAGAAATAGTTTACTACAAAAAATACTACCTAGTTTCTGCGAATTCACACTCTCTTGCTCCAAAGTTACTCATAGAGCCATTTGTTAATTGCTATGATATACCAAAATAACAAGACATTTTTCCTCTACCAAATGCCAGCTTACATTCCCCATTACACAATAAAGCCATAACCTGCCTCTTCATTCTTTGTGGTTCTTCTGCTATCACTGTCAGATCTCTATGCATATCAAAGAAAGCTACTAATTTAAATCAATAATGATCAGCTTTGCAAGTATACTGATTGAATAAGACAAGAGATCCAAGTGCAAAGAAAGGGATTCCCACGACAAAATCCCACAATACAGTTCATCTTGGAATCTATACATATGATCAAGACGACATTTAAGATGATTCCACATACACTGTCCTACTGAGGGAGGTAATCAGTAGTGAAGAGTTACCTAAGTAACACCTTCAACTCTTTGTTAGATAAGGGCGTATTAGATTAATATAAACATTTTGAATTACATACACTGAAAGATATGCTATCTTGCTGAAGTGCTTCAAGCCACAAGGCACTTTTCTGTTTAAATAGGAGGCAAGGTAATGAAATGTTTAAGATCAGTGTACAGCTAGCCTTCTAAAAACCAAAGAAACAGTTGAACTGGGGAAAAGCTAAAGCTCAGTCAATTATGAGATACTTCATGTCAAGGGTCTTGACATTTATGATATATTACTCTGATCATGTAAAGGCTAGCAAACAAATACCGGGAATAGAAAATTATTGATTCATATTTAGGACCAGTACTGATCACAACAGAGTCAAGATTTCAACTGTTGACATCATAGCACACAGCAATAGCATAGTCTTCTGCCATTCTTCCCCCCATCCAACCAACAAAATGACATTTAGAAAAAAATAGTATTTCAAAATGTCTAAACCATTTGGACAGGTGATGGTGACACAGGAGAAACTAAGGGATCAGGGTGAGGCAGCTGGAACATTTCTGGCTTAAACTTGGCATTTGCAATCTTCACGCATTCTTCAAGCGTTGTGATAAACGTATTACATGTGGCACTAAGCAAGGAAGAGGCTTCATTCATGTTCTGAAAATAAATGAAAGCACAAGCATAAGCAAGAATTAAAAAAAAAAAAAAAACCCACAACAAACTAGGTGCAAATAAAACTCTCCGCAACCACCACTCACACTAATTTCCCTCATTACCACTAAGAACTTCCTTTTCCCGTTTTATTTAATCAAATGTACACCTTCCAATGAGATTAATTTAAGCAAACAAATGTGACAGCATTGTAATTCCTTTCTAACATCTGAATTTCTTTAGGGTATCGGCCAACAACAGCAAAATGTTTTTACTGTGAAGCTTGTCTCAGAGTGACAAACGGGTATCAGAAGATCATTCTGTGAAATAAATTGCATCAGAACATGCTAACAGCATTATAGCTCCAGTGCAAGGAGCCTGCAGGTCAGTTTTACCTCACTGTACATTGACAACAATTTGCCATGTTGTGACTAAATGCAACCCCTCGCTTTGCCCTGAAAATGGACAACAATATTGCCCACACGCTGCTTAGGAGCATGAAGAATTAAGCCGTTCATAATTTCCACTGCCAACTGTCATTCCAAAGCAGAAATACTAGAATAATTTCACTTGTGAATATTCAGAGAGATATATCTGCACTGCAGGTTTCCAATACCTGTAACACTAACTTTCTCTGATAGAAAAATACCCTCCTACACAAAGAAGTAAAGAATGAATAAACAAGGTCATTTCAACTCTCTGCCCATAACAGAGAGGCGAAACAAGGCAAATTATTGCATAACTCATATGGGAGTTCTTCTAGCCTTTTAACCAGATGATAAATAATACAATTGCTTCCTAATGCACATTAGAATTACAGTTAAATTATCCAGGTACTTTATGCACATATAATCACTGTTAGCATTATATACATACAAGCACTCAAAAATTGAGCTTAGGTGAAATCACATTAGGGAGATGAAAAAGATGTCAACAAAAACTTGAGGTGTATTATATAATTAGGTTCTCTAATGGCATTCTAAAAATTCTATACCTCAATGCTGGGAGGAGAGCGAGTCTCATCATGGTGAATAAATTCTTGTATTGTGTGAACTTGCTGCATTAAAAGATCACAGTAGAGACGAAGTTCGGACATTTTGGTTTTAAGAGATTCACTGGTCTCACTAATTTCTACAAAAAATAATGGAAATATCAATTTACTGCATACAATGTATGTACACATTTTAATTTTTAAGCACTTTTCATTCTAAGCGTCAGTTTAAAATTTTGAGGGAAATTGGATTCTGCAATGTGTCAGGAAAGAAAGTTGAAACATTTCTAGCTGCAACGTAATTTACAAAAAAAAATGGATGAAATTTACACCCACAAAAGTGGCTGGAAATGGTTACATTAACCCATTCAAGAAAAATTATGGAAAAACCGATATTAACTATAAGGAATCAAAACAGCAGAAATAAAACAGCATCACTACAGTTACAAACAGTAGGTTTGTTCTTTTAACGACAAGAAGTTGGTGGTATTTCAGTTTCTTAAAGATAGAAAAGGTCAATGGAGGTGACCTCTAATTCAAACATCAAGGGGGAATTTATCATATAAATGACTAGAAATAATTACAATTTATATTTAAAGACAACCAACACTGGCTTTCTACCACAATATTTGACTACCGTTATCTGAAAACAGGCATTTGAAAAAGTGGTAAGATTGTATATGCTCTAGGAAACACACATACCTTTTTCTTTTTTTGTTCTGGTATCTGCTAAACAGGCTTTTGCACTCCCCAGTGCTACCAGCCACCTTTGCCTTTCAGCTGCATTAACTGCTTTCATATAGAAATGCTGTTCCCCTGGGATGATTAGCTCCATCCTTGTGTTGTCTGTTGCATGAACTGACGATAGAGGAGGGAAAAAAAAAAAACCCAACCCAATTTTGAAGAAAAAAAACTCAGTAGCAATTGTTTGTTAAAAACTGATCAAAGCATTTAAGTATTTTTGTTTATTACAGTCCCATAGTAATACAGTAAATCACAACGCACCACTACTAAGTAACAAGAAGCCCAAAGCTGCTCAACCCTTCTTCCCAGCATGCCTCAAGTCAGCAAAAACAGCAGGCAGGCTCAAGTACAATGAGGTTCCCTTTCCGCATTAATAATATACTGAATATGAATCTGTAATAACTGTTGTATTCCAAACCTGGCCTAAACATGACACACTGAAGAGCTTTGGTGCAAGTACAAGTATTTGCAGAGAAGTAGGCTAAAAACTGAAGGAATCTCCCTTCTAGATGAAATCTGGCTTCAAGTCGTAGAGACTTAGAATGAAGAACTGACAGGGACTTGTTATCAACCACAGTGCCTCCAGACCCAATCCCCACTAGTTATGGATGCAGGAGACTCCACAAAACCCAGACTTCAACTATTATCTTTTCTTCACCAAAAGAACAAGATGACAAGAAAACAAACTACTGGAATGGCCAAAAAATGGGACCTTCCACTTTACATCACTGATTTCATCTACACTAAAGAAACAGTAACAAAAAAGGGTTACTACATGAAAAATACTTCTTGGCCCATGTAAAATAAGAACTCCCACTTTTTCATAAAGTATCCACTTCAAAAGCCCAATCATCTGCAGGTATCTGGAAAGAGGTGAAGAGTTGAAAGCAGTGGAGAGTTAGACAATGTCTTGCTTATCAGCCAAGGAGGTTGACCTACAGCTTTGAACACACTAAAAGCTAAACTTACAGTCTGACACGAACAGTTCACTTACTAACTCTACTATACCCATCACCTATGCACGTGGGCAGCTGCTAACTGTGACTAAAGTAAAAGTTACTCAGGAAAACAAAAGACTAAACATCTCCGGTTTATAATAATGTCCCCTTTTAGGTGACTGCTGGTGCTCTTCTGAAAAACTAGCATTCATGATTCAGTGTCTGTCCTGGTTTCAGCTGGGACAAAGTTAATTGTCTTTCTAGTAGCTTTCAGTGCAGTGTTTTGGCTTTAGTCTGATAATAATGTTGATAACACAAAGATGTTTAGTTGTTGCTAAGCAGTGCTTACCCTAATCAAGGACTTTCAGTTTCCCATGTTCTGCCAGTGAGGAGATGCACAAGAAGTTGGGAGGAGGCACAGCCAGAACAGCTGACCCAAACTAGCCGAAGGGCTATTCCATCGCACAGAACATCTTGCTCAGTATATAAACTGGGGGAGTTGGCCAGAAGGGGCTGATCACAGCTTAGGGATGAGCTGGGCATCAGTCAGCAGATGGTGAGCAATTACACTTTGCATCGCTTGTCTTCTTTGGGTTTTATTCCTCTCTTTTTTAATTTCCTGTTATTATTATATTTTACTTTATTTTAATTATTAAACCTGTTCTTAATCCATGGGGTTCTACCTGTTTCCAATTCTCCTCCCCATCCCACAGGGGAGTGAGCGAGCAGCTGCATGGTAGTTAGTAGCCAGCTGGGGCTAAACCACAACAGTGATCTCTTCTACTTCCCTGGCAGCTAAAATTTTATCAAGCAGAAATCTATTAATTCTTACCTTTAATTTCACATACAGCCATCTTTATACTTCCTTTGCTGCCTTTGCAAACATCATCCTGTGAATCATAGTATGACAATATCCCATTGTCTAAAACAAACCACCGAGGCTGCCAACCTAGCAAGATCAAACAATGAAAAGTAGGTTTAGTCTGATTACTAAATTGCAAATCAAATGCAGCTCATTGGCTGTTAAAACTTTCATTAAAAATGCAAACATTAAACTATTCTTTTTACACACTAGGAAGTAAACAATCTGCAGAGTCTGAAGACCTCTATAATAAGACTAGTATTATACGGATATTTCAATCCCATTCTTTTTGGATGCAAGATCAGGAGTATTCCAATTTTCACCATATTCCATTCTAAAGCAAACTTAAATTTCAATTTAGCCACCAAGGAAGCCTATTTTGAAGGTTGATAAATTACATACCTCTAAAGAACCATTCTCATCCAAATGTATTTTTCAGGTAGACTTTCTGAAGATTGTAGGAACTTATTTGTAAGATACAAATAAATGACTGATGTTACTGGCTACTATGGTATGTTCTCCCTCTGCCTACTCTGTTTCACTGAAAACTTTGTATTTCACACTTAACTTTCTCTGAAAGTAGCACAGCTCCATTGCTCAACAACAATCTAATGTCAGGTATTGTGTGGAAAACTGAGACATGGCTTACACCCCTAGTCCATTTGTGAGGACAGCATACACCAGCTCCTCTACTAAGGTTCTTACCAACTTTGCATTAGCAAAATTATGTAATAATCTCTGACTTTACAACTTCCACAAAACAGAGTAATTTATGCAGAGACGCAAATATCTATGAGCACTCTATGCAGCATTACAACACATAATAAATTATTGTCATGGGCCTTCTTGGATTAAAGTATATTAGCAGTCTTTTTTTTCCCTTCCTCTTCCCTCCCCCTCTCCCTTTTTTTCTAACCACTGCTTCACAGAACATCACTCATTGGAATAGGTGCTTTAATTTCTAATACAACTAAATGCAAACCATTTTGCCTAGTAAATCACCTTTGTTTCTAAAAATAGCATACAGTTAAAATATTCCAGTAGAGCATTACAACTGCACTAACCCACTACAGTTTAGGTTGACTGTACAATAGGAGTAGATTATCCTTTTATTTTACACTCAGCACCAAACTTGAACTTCCAGCTCAGTATACAGTTTGGAAAGGCCATAACTGCACAGACAAGAGCTCAATATATTTGGTGACACAATGGTGTGGTCCACGGTGCTTACCAATTGCCATTCCAACAGAGCCATCAAGCAGCAGTGTACTGTAACACAGCAAGCTTAATCAGGCACCAGACTCTTGGAAGTCAGCTAAAAGCTTTGTACTACTCACATTAAATCATTACAGGTTTTAATGCTAATTCAAGAGTGTACAACCGAGCCCATTACATCACATCACAAATTCATGATAGGGAAATAATATCATGTAAGTATTCTTTTAATTTTTTAGACATAATGGTAAGCATCTGTCTTTCAAAATGAAAATAAGCATAACAAGCAAATCTACACTCAGATATAAACAGAATGAAAAAAGTACAAGCACAGAGGGATGCCAACTCCCACACAATTGATTTCAAATTGTATATGCACATCACCACTTATACTCAAAGAATATGCAGTCATGTAATAACTGTACTGAAGACTTTGTCCTGTAAAATGCAGCTCAGAAATGCACTGGATTTTTTTCCCTGCTAGAGTGTGTTACAAAACATCAACTCTGTCCTCCTCTTATCTCCTAAGTGCATGCACAGATGGTAAGCCAATGCCTGTCTCAATTCTGATAAAAAGGGACTCTACATAGATGACTTTTCCAGCCTCCTATTATGCCAGTATTGGAAAAAACAGAAGCAAAGGACTTAAAAAGACTCCAAGTGCCTCAGAGAAGCAAGCTTAAGAACAAAACCACCTCTTCTGATTTCAAACTGGGCAAACAAAGCATCCTATGTTTGACAAAATATTTGTCAAATATGTACTTCACAAATTCTTAAATGCACACATATTATTTGGGGGGTGGGGAATAAAGCTGCATTTCTGGTTTGTTTTTAATGAAGGAGGAAATTAAATGTTTTCCACAATGCTTCAGCAACAATAACGAGCTCCTTTGCTACTTGACTTCTACCATTAATGACAGCAAGTACTACAGCCTATTTCTGGCTACAGGAACAGAGAGTAGACTTCCAAGAAAGTTGGTAATAAAATTCAAAAATTTTACTAATATGACTAGATTTTTCTTTTCCTTTTCTTTTTTTTTTTTTTTTTTTAAAATTTGCTGCCCGCCTGCGTTCCAGAAATTGTAGATACTTCCTGAAGCACTGTAATTTTGAAGGACAAGAGCAGATGCTATCAGCTGGCCAGCACAGACTAAAGGAAGGGTTCTGGAGTTCTTCTGGTTTAGAGTGCTACTTTTAACAGAAGTTAGCTGTGTGTTGATATAACAGTCTATTGCTTGCACAGCAATCACTGTTACTGTTGAATATTTACTTATTAAATAACAGGAAGTCATAATAGGAGTAATACAAATAATAGGAAGTTTATATCAAACACCTCAAGGGCTCATTACCGTTGACCTTTTATTTTTTGCTACAGCAACTTTTCTGGTCATATAAGTGAAAGTGACAATTTCCATTCTATTTTTAAAAGAAACTTACACTCATCGTTCCTTTCATAACCACAATTTTTCCTATATGTGTTTTCTCCACATTTATTGTGAAGAAGTGACAAAAACATCTTACCAAATAGCTATTTAATTACAGTACATCTGTTCTCTCTCATCGGAACACCTGTATATGTGGACGCATATTTCCTCGGAAAACACAAGCTTATGCCCTGTATGCTTCAATCCTTGCAATGTGGCCCACGTTCTATGAACCTTTAGAACTGAGTTTCACACCACTCCACATTCAAAATCTGAATAAACAGAAGCAGAACAACACGCGTGAAGTTCCAAAGAATGAGAGGGCAAAGATGAGACTGCCACAGCAGTCAAACACAAGGCCTGATTAAGTCTCGTGGTATATGATCCAACATTAATTTGCTCTGGAGGGACAATTAGTCCTATTACAGTGTCAGAAGAGAATCTGTTTCACCTTGACAGTACCATCTATCCAATGCTATCTCCAGAGGGAGACGGCATCTCTGTTACAACGGAGGATAAGGCAAACAAAACCAGAGTTTTGATGGCAAATGTGGGCATTTGGTGCATTTTGTGAGATTTCACCCAGAACTAGCTTTTTATATATTTTGCAGATAAAGATACAGGGGCATCACGATTAAAAAAAAAAAAAACAAAAAAACAAAACAAAACAAAACAAAAAAAAAAAAAAAAAAAAAAAAAAAAAAAAAAAAAAAAAAAAAAACCAACATCCCAAAGTAAATTAAAAGAGAATTCAGACTGTTACATTTAGCACTGAAGACAAGGATGCAAGGATACCTTCCAAGCTTGTATTCTGCAATATTTCTGAGAAGAAGCAGAGGTGGAGGGTAAGGTCCTATCGCTGGGCCCTTAGAACAGGACACTTCGGGCGGCGCTTCCCTGCAGCCTGTCCTGTTTAGAGTCCCTGACCAACTCGGCAAGGCGCTATCCAGCTCTCAAGAGACCTTTGCCCACCCAGCTCGCATGGGCAGGCGGCGGGGCCGGGCACATCATGGTCGGGAGGCTCTGGGGGCCACTCAGGTGCCCACAGGCCAGCGAGGGCGGCGGGGGGC